GAACGATATCAATGCTTAATTGTTGATAATTCAGAACAAGAACAAGATTATAATGAACCATATACTGGACCAAATCCAACAGAAATTTTATCACTATTATTTAAACAAAACACTTGTTCTTATAGAGTATATATATATTATAAATATTATTAATATATTATATAAAATTTATATAAAAAATTGAATTTTATATAAAATATTATATATATTTTTAGGTTGAATCTTATTGGTCATATGAATTGTGCCATGGACGATATGCACGTCAATATCATGAAGATAGAGATGGAAAACAAGTAAAGACTCAAGAATATTATTTGGGTATTTTTGATAAATTACAAGAGGTAAAGTTTTTAGCTGAATATGCAGAAAAAGAAACAAATCCTACTAAAAAAGCAAATATACCAGTAAAAAAAGTTGATGGAATCAATATGCCATATGTTGAAATTGAAATGATTGATGGCACTGTTTGTGATTTAACTAATAAGCCAAGAAAGATAAAAGTTTTGTATGTTTGTTATCAGCATGGTAAACATGAATTATTTTCATTAGAAGAACCTTCTAGCTGTGAATATGAGGTTATTGTCCTCTCTCCTTTGTTATGTAGTCATCCTGACTACAAACCTCAAGCTACAGGCGAAAATGAAATTAATTGCCATCCACTTGACAATGCTCCAAAAAAGCCAAGATCTCTTATTGCAATGGAAATGGAAAGTCTAAAACTTCGATATCAAAAAGTAACGGTAAAACCATCTTCTGTGCGTTCTTTGTATTCAGTTATTTATTTCTGACTATGCTTGTGCCATATGTATATAATATTGTTATTTAAAATAAAATATATTTACTTATATTTTCTGTGTACGGTAGTGATAATTTTTGTTATTGATTTATATGAAATATATTTTCATGCAAGATTTCCAAATAAGAATAGATTTTTAAAAATGTTCTAATAGTATGCCATTCAATAATAGAAAACAGTATATTAATTAATATTATATATTTTTTCTGAACTAATTGAATATTTCTATTTTATGAAAGATTTTTGAAGTAATTTTGACTTGTACCTTTAAGCTAGTTTTTTTAGTGTATAACAATTTTCGATTTGTTATTTTTATTATTTACTGTTTATATACATTAAATTAACTATTTGTTGCACAGGATGACAAGCTGCAGAAAGTCTATGCAATCTTCCATGTAGATAAGGAGGGCCAGGTCAGAATATTTTGTATTTTTGGGATCAGGCCAAAGTGCTTGATGGTTCTTGTCATTTGTCGCCATTAATTTGTATCTTATTCTGTCCCTTCCTTTTCTACATACAGTTATTTCCTTTAAATCTACAATTTTTCCAAAAAATATTACAATAACATTATGAATGCTATTTATGCACCATTTTATCTTTAGCATTGCATATCCACTGCTTTATTCAACTAAATTTAAGGTATTTGTCATTTTTGCTTCACATATTGCTTTTAATTAAGGATTAATGTTACATCACATACATAAGATGCTATATGAAGCATATATTTTCAAAATAAGTATAAATTACTATAAAATTAAAATACTATAAAATCATAATTTAACAATAAATGGAACTGGATATGTTTATTAATATTTATAACTAAAAGAAAAACGCACTCTTATTTCTAACAAATTCATACAATCGATATTAACATTTGTAATTATTCTCGTAAGAAAGTTCGTTTTGACGCATAATTGAAAATTTAATTAATTTACATTTATTTCAGGATGGAGAAGCGCGTGTTAGAGTTGAAATACATCCCGTTGGGGTTATCGATAAACATAGTAACATTGAAGATTCTATAAATTCATTAACAGATCAAGGTATTAGCCCAGCGGAAGTGAGTCCCGTAAAGAACTTTTTAAGTGGAAAAAATTGTTTACATGGGGTAAATATTATATTTTTGATAATGTATTTTTATTATATTTTATTCAATAATATTTGATTGATATAAATAGGGCAATGGATGGTGGAAATATGAATTTTGTTATGGACGTTCTGTGGTTCAATATCATATTGAACGTGATGGTAAAAAAACTATAGTAAATCTTGGTAAATTCGATAAGCAAAAACATTTGGAATGGATCGCTGCGCACCCACACAAAAAACCAAAGGCTCCAGAGTTACGGAAACATCTTTCTCATTTTTATAGTGATGGTACTATTTGCGATAAGACTGGCAATCCGAGACAAACAGAGGTATATATGTTTATAAATTTATATGTCTGTAAATTTTGTAATTTATTTTTGTATATATTAGTTATTAAAATATCATTTTCAGGTGAAATTAAAATGTGTTGAAAGTCATACAGCTAGTCCATCCAGCGTTTCTCTATTTCTACTTGAACCAAAAACATGCGAGTACGTTTTAGGTGTGGAATCACCATTGATCTGTGATATTTTAGAATACGCCGATGAAAATGGACTTCTTAGTGAAAAATTTGAAGTGAATTTTGACAAATTAAAGACAACTGCTTTCCATGAATATGACGATTTGGATGAAAGGATAGCAAACGGAGACGACTAAAATAATATTCGATTAATAGATATTAGTTGTTAAAAAAATTTTTTTTAATGATAAAAGTGACAGTATTAGGGTGTTGGACATTTGCATTTCAGTTATTATATAAAAAATTTCAAAAATTTTATTTTTACAGATTCAGTTTATATCAACATAAAAGCGCCATGCAAAGTTTTCAGATATTTTACAATATATATGTAAGCATAACAATTCTTTAAAATATATAATGCGATCGATACATTATTGCGCGACGAAAATTGTAACGTTTGCAAAAGTTTTTTCACTTTGTAAAATTTTAAAAGAAATAATTACAATCATCTTATGTTAATTTCTGTTATTATTGAAATGATTCTATTATTCTTATTAATAATGAAAAAAAGAAACATGATGATAGTTACACGCAACAAATTATATCATACATTCTTCATTATTGTCCAATATTAAGACCAACTCCCACACGAAATTGTTGTTTTTTATGGTTTAAAAGTGCGCTAATAATCAGTGAAGATTCTGGAATTGGGTATAGCTTCTTCTCAAATACACCACCGACTGTAGTTTCAGAATTCACGATACCTCGGAAAAGAAGATCCGCATATGGTACATTTACTTGATAAACTATAGTAGCAATTGACTGATGTGTCCTCGTATTTGTTTCTAACTCGACCCCAATTTCCAATTGCGAGCTAGCTTTGCGATGATAACAAAGATGAAGACCCGCTTCACCTATAGTCCCAGATAATGTTGTAAGTCCTGTACTGTGTCTAAAAGCCATGCACATGACCGTCTGTTGACCGCCTGGAACTTTTGAGCCACGAAGACATGCAATCTCGGCTCCTAACGCAATTCTCGATGTGATCGATTGTAAAAAGTGTATTACCACTGTTCCTTGCTTCTTTGTAAATTTTGGATTGGCTAAGGTCATCGCTACAGTAAAATCATTCGACCGATATTCCAGACTGGAACTCGATGCTTTGCATTTTCCATCGGCAATTTGTGCCGATAATTTGTACCTAACTCTACATCCAAGCGTATGCATAAAAGAGGCGGTCAAATTTCCATTTGGTGCGATATCTCCCGAAGCTATAGGATATCTTTCATTAGGATTAACCACTTTTGTACCAATATATTTTGCACCGAATTTATATCCAGACGGAGTAACGGAACTGAGAGTAATAGTATGTGTCACATTAAAATGTTGACTAAGAATTTTGTTGATGATGAGCCGCGCACCTTCAAAGTTTTGCGGATATAGATCTTTAACCTTTTTATGTATATCTTCGAAACTACCAGGATTTCCTGGTGCTTTGTCTTCTGCTTCGCACGGTACACAATCTTCATTACTTACTGCACTTGGTTCTTCTAATTTTTTTCTTGATGCATGCACCGTACCCATTGTAATACATTAGGCTTATTCTTTTAAAAGAACATTTTAAAAGAATTGGAAAATTTTCCTTGAGCGCTTTTTAATTTTGTGCTTGATGACAACATATGAATAAAATTAATTCTAATGTAAACAGGTTATATGATTTTTCTGTTAATTTTAAACTTAAATGAACGATATATTCCATATACGCGATATATCGATTTTATAAATTCACTATGTCAAACTAAAATATCGATTGTATAATATATCGATTGTCGATTCATAATACAATTTTAGTATCAGTTTCAATACTAGATGGCTTTCGAGTAAAGCATTTAAATATAGTATTTATATGAACATATAAAAATTGCTTTAGAAAATCTTAATAATGTGATTATCTTAATTTAAAATATTATATTTCGTTACAATATTGATTATAATATATTAAATATATAATTTTTTCTCCAAACTTCGATAATATATGGTACATTTATGATATATACTTTTCTCGCAAGTGGTCCAGTAGCATTCAGTTGGTTTATATATGAAAATCAAACACGATCTATCGGAAGTGTGTGCTAGTGATGGCACAGCTGAACATTGATCGCTAACGTAGAAATATGGCAGATCTGCTCAGTGGGTGTTGTCACGTGGTCGCTTCAAGTAGCTTGTGTTTGGCTCCCGATTGCGCGTGCAAGTTCGTGGTGTTTTGCTTTAAGCATCATCTCGGATCTGCACGCCTGCACGGTTGAGTCCTTCACGTCGCTCCTCGAACTACCGCGATTTCCAAATTGGGGGGCAATCGAATAGGTCAGACGAGGTTATAATTTGTCGCTTCCATATACAGGCACTGCAGATAAGCAGTATGCCATGTTTTTTTTTAAATTACTATATTTTTTATACTTAAATTTCAATACAACACGAGTTACTTTTAAAAATAATATTATAATTTGTCGCTTCCATATACAGGCACTGCAGATAAGCAGTATGCCATGTTTTTTTTTTAAATTACTATATTTTTTATACTTAAATTTCAATACAACACGAGTTATTTTTAAAAATAATATTATAAAAAATAAAATAATATGAGAAAGAAAAAACTTTTTTTTTTCGTATGATTTTTGATTTTATTTTTAAAATAAAAAATTATATAAAATTTATGTGACCAATTTTTTTTGTGTTTCGCTGTTTACTTCAGATGCAACTTGAGTAAAAAGTAAATTCCAATTCCATACTTCATCCAATTCTTTCGTCAAATTTTCATTGTATAATTTTTCTGCTAGAAGAGAAAGATTAACACCATTTAAAGACGTGAATGCAGCATTTTTCACCAAATCTGTATCAAGTTCTTTATATGCAGCGACTCTGTTCACGTTCACTCTATAAATTAAAAAAAAATTGAAGATAATTGAATAAGAATTTTTGCAAAACTTCATAACAGTACTTACGTTGACGCATTAATATCAGAAAACGCATTATCTTCCTGAATTTCATCCAAATCGGGAATTATAGGAATATCTACAAATAATTCTATCAATTCAATTTTCTTACCTACAAGATTTTTATATTTCAAATAATTTTTAAATTAATTCTTACCATCTATCACTTCATCTTTCTCTATCCCTCGAGAACGTTCTCTAAGAAATAATCTATCAGCGATTATGGATGTCTGATTTTTTTAATTCTATTTGTTATACTTACTGTTCAATAATAGAAGCTCCACGTATCCTAGAATTATCGTTAAAGGAGGAAAACTATCGATAAATTTCTAATATAAATCAGTACAAAACAACTTACTTCCCGCTTTTTAATTCGTCACCCCATCCAGTTTTTCTGGTACGTGGAGGTGCTACAGGTGGTTGTGCTGATTTCACGAAAGATGACGATACAGGGCTTTCCAAAGGATCATCGTCGAGTTTAGAGTCTTCTAGTACAATGTTTTGCGATCTTCTACCAAGACGAGGTAAAAGCTAGAAAACAATAATGTTAACATAGTCAATAATGAATTGTATACAATTTATGAGAAAAAGTAAATATTTAAGAACTTACTTTTTTCGAAGTAATTTCCAAATCCCAGTCCATACCTGTCTATTGAATTTTGATATTAAGGTTAGCTTAAGAGGTAATCCGTAATTTATGTTTGTATGCAGTAACCATAACAACTGAACGGTCTGGTGGCACGCGCGATTGAATCGACTTTGCTCGTCTTGCTCCCCTCTTTCGTTCGGGAAGTAGCGCGAGGGGCAAGAAACGTGACTGGAAACGCGCCAGTAATACACTCGAAACCGGTTTCAAGTTCCTTTCGATTAGAGCGCGTCTTTTTAAACATGCCACCAAAAAGATTGGCGCAGAAATAGGCGTAAATCATCGTATAAAAGGTAAAATTGTAACAGTTGTTACATTTATTTCTTAAATTTCATCGTACAAATATTTATGCAGTCAAAAATAAAAATAGAATTTTATTATGAATTTTTTAAGTATCCTATATTGTAAATCTTTGCCCAAAAACACGATTAAGTTAATAATATTTGGTATTATCAATCTGTCGTTGATATTCCTCATCATCGGGATTAGCCTGGCAAGCGTTGTCATTGTTTGGTGGTCGTACACCGTTATACCTACAATTTCAATATTAATGATAGTTATATAAAAGAAAAGTATAATATCATAATAATTTTAGATGCTTTCAAATATTGAAAGACCTGGAAAAGTCACCCTTGCAGAGTCTCCACGGTAATATATCGATTCTTTCATGGAGTATGGGTGATATCTCGGGACTGACAAAGTTGGGAGTACCAGCGCCGGAGCCACGGGTCAAAAGCTTCCTTTGACGATCATAGCAGCAATGTTGAACCGCAGCACTTCCACTTCCCTGTGTCAGCAATGATCGTATGCAGTAAGTGGCTCCTGGCTTGTAAACGTCAAGTCTTTGAGAGCCACCGCTCACATCTCTCCATCTGAAATATTTCATTCGCTTCTCATCCCAAATTTTATCATCGTAAAAAATATTACTAGGATATTGACATGGACAAGCAGGTAATGACGTTAAACCATCTGTAACAACAAGTTACCAAGACACCAAATACAATATTTAAAACGATCTGAACGAACGAATTCATACCTAAGAAAACTTGCTCGAGCTTATCCCTGCTGTTTAACCATTTTTGACAAGGGTCTTCATTTGTCCCATTCACAAAGTTTAATTCCTTGAAAATATTCCGCTCGTCCGTTGTAGTAGCGTTTCGCAGACTTTGAAATAATTTGGCCAGGAGATCGCTTAAACTTTCGTGGATTATAACGTGATCATCGGTAGCCGAGTAAATAGCCGGAGAATATATTTCGTCCGAGTAATCTGTACTCTCGGTAAATTCGTCTTTTTTCGATCGTTCTCTTTTTTTCGAAGATCGGTCTACATTTTCATACTGAATTTCATCAGTTATAGATGGTTCATCGTACGAACCTATCAATCCCTCATCTGATAATTTACCTGTAGAGCTGTTTCGTTCTATAACAACGAAACTTCCTTTCTTTGATTTAATTCTATTCCCCTCCATATCGGTATCGGTTACATTATAATCCTCTTCTTTAGTTTTATTATACATTTCCTAAATACCGATACAAAAAATAACTCTAATTTATTTATTTATTTATTTATTTTTTTTCAATATTATGTCACCATCATCAATAATTACCTGTACACGATCGTTCACTCCTATAGATATATCATCTAATTCTTCTTCGATCTCCAGAACTGTATTGTTCTCATCACGATTTTTCTTTGTCTCTTTAGAAATATGAATATCTAACGGCATCGTGTTGTTGTCCTGCTGAAGGGACAGTTTGCTTCCAGATGTGCTTTCAACACATGTCGATCGATTTCTGTAACGACGTCGCTTCCGATGTTTCGCATGTCTCGTAGGAATCTCTTCGACCAACCGTTCGTTACGCTTGTTTCTAATTAATTCATTAATCATCCAAGATGGTTGAAGCAGACTCAAAATTGTCTTTCGATACATATTTTCCAAATCTCCATTGATCTCGGAATTATTAATCTGTGAATAAAAAGCAAATTCATCGATTGCCCGTGAAAATTTATTTATTTAAACACCGATTTAAACACCATCGATCTAGGATAGTTCAAATGGAGCCGAGTTCGTGGTAGTGGGATCATTTGGTCGTTCGTTACAAAGAAGGGCAACGGTGGTCGGCACGACATCAAAAGAAGAAACCGTGTTTGACTCGTTGATGAGGTACGAAGCTCTCACAAGGAAAAGGAACGCTGGAATGGAACGGAACGAAATAGGATACACTGAGTGTGAGAATGTTTTTTATTCTTGGAAATGTGCATTGTGAAATCGTTTCTCAATAACATAGGAAACTCGACGTGGATGGATGAAATTTCAGTTTCCCGCCTTTTCTTAGTTACGTGAAACTCGTTCGAATGAAAAATAGTAATATAATGAAAAAAAAACTTTTAACTAACAAAAACATAATTCAATTGTTTACAATTGCGTATACAGTTACTTACATGATGATTTTCCGTATAAACGATGGAAACAATCAACATTAATTGGAACAGAAGAATCAAATGAACAAAAGTTGAGATTCTCATGTTTATACATCAACGATTCCGCATAATGTTTTCTCGATAATCGTTCAATTGTTTTTTCGCGCGATATCGTTTTTTTTTTTTAATTATTTAATACACCCAACACGAAATTGGTACACACGTTCCACACACGTTTTCATCCCTTTCGATTACTCTCGAACGAAGCAAGGACGTAGCTCGATGTCGTCGGCTCTTTTGTTTACATTCTAATCGATTCGTTTGGAAACAAACGGCAAGATCGATCGATCGATATCCAAGGATATGTTACATAATTAAAGATCGATAAAGAGAAACTGCATGCAAACTGGTAATGGATGTAAGAAAAATAAGAAAAAAAAGAACAACGAAAGGACAACAAAGAACAAAGGCAACCGTGAAAGAAGGAACACAGCATACACGAGGCACGAGGCGCGTACTGTTCAAAGGCCTACCACTATATGTATAGTTGTGAACTCGTGAAGTTCTGTCCCACTATAATGGCCAAGCAGCAGTAGTGGAGAGGCTGGAGAGGTAGCGCGCCGGATGACAGAATACTACGTCATTGTACAGGTCGTCGTACAGTTCACGGCTTAGGGCTTTCTTACTTATGTTAGCGGCAGTTCCCGCCCTATCGCTTTTCTCTCTTCTTTTTACACCGATTCCGTTTTGCCTCGATGTTCTTCCCTCCCCTTGCCTCGTTCCTTCTGCGCTGCTTCACCTCGCCTTTTCTGTTTTTCTCTGATACACTACGTACTCCTACCCATCTTCAACCCTTTGAACAGCTACTGTTTTCACCGGATGATTTAATTGTTTCTTCCTCGCCGTTCTACCCTAGATCGATAAATTACACGAGAGCATATTAAATATATTCGAATCATCGGTTTCCACTACGATCCCCGCCAGAGATCGTACAACTGTGTAAAAAAATAGAGAAGATAAATAGGTTTCAATTCTCAAGTTGGTCGCCATGAACGCGAATGACACGTATTACGATATCAAGGATCTAAATACAGCATTGGAATCCAATGGAACGCGTTTCGGTTATTTTTAGGCGGACAGATTCGAAAATACACCCACCATGGATTAAATATAACTGGAGATGCACGCATACGGAATGCGGTACGATGGCACGCGAACGATCGGTTGCTCGCAAATATGCAAATCCCCGCGTCGAAAGAGCAACACTGTTTCTTTTCAACGCTGATCGCCTTATTTATCGTTCTTGTATTTTCGTTTAAACGTCTTTCCATGTTCTTTTCTTTTTTTTTTTTTTTTTTTTTTTTTCTTTCTTTTATAGTTAGTTCTCCTAGCACCTTGCGACGAACTATCGCCTACGAAGATTCACGAACTGCGCGAATGGTTAAAAAAAAGTTGGACGAAAAATTTAGAATTATTCCTCGGACGAGTTGATTAAATTTCTATGATTCCGTGGGATAAAATTTATGTTATTAACGGATTTCGAAGGTAACTAACAAAAAAAAAAAAAAAGAACAGGAAGACAAACACGAATTGTGATGGAGATGATGGGTATCAATCGGCACCACTTAATCACCGTCCACAATTTCTTCTAATTTCTTATCGCTTCACGCTGTGTGTAATTGGATTACGGATCATCCTAGTTCGGATCATCAAACTTAATGCACGCATTAAGTTTTGAATCGATTCATACGATTGTATTGCACGGCTTTAACAAGGTTGTTAAACTAATTTGTTTACATTTCCATATTATGTATTCCAGCAATGGAATAAAAGGAGAACGGCGAAATATCACCGCGTCAGTTATGAAGAGGAGAGGGGGCGAAGGCGAGTCGCACGATGAGTCGTAAAAGCATCAGATATTTGGAATGGTACAGGCGCCACCATTAGTATACCAGATTTTTCAAGGGGGCCGACAACTGATTTCGATTCAACTTCGTTTATTTACTCGTAGATCGTCGTCGAGCGCCACCGATACCGGATTGCAGGGAAAAGGATAAAAAACGGCATTTAACACCGGTAGCGCTGACATTCCACGACTGCTTTTCTGCATCCAGTGGCGCCAAAGTCATCGTCTCGAGCACTGTTACCGTCACGTTTATTTTATTGGCACACTCGTAAAATTTACGCCTTGATTTCAACGCTCTCCTCTTCCAAGAAAATCACCTCTCGTTCGTATCCTCGAACCGACTTCGTTCCTTCAATCTATTTGACCGGCTTCTTTTATTCGGTTTACCGTCCGTTTATTAAAATAAGTATATAATTTCAAGTGAAAGCGATTCCCATCATTCCTTCCAAATATAGAACCTAAAGTTTATTATGACGCGAATCTCGTTTCAACGGGAGGGTGAGATGGGGCGAGTAATATACTAAGCGTGAAAAACGTATTCTTAAATATTCATTTTTATTTGTCGTAATTAAAATATAAATAACTCTAACGTTTTACGATACAATAGTATATACAATGATCGAGACGATTAACTCTCTACGTGTGATTATAATAATAATTTAATGACGATACAGGATAATTGTTTAATGACGATGTAAGATCACGTGCTAATTATTGATACACATGACCCTACGCGAATTTAGGAATGTTTTTATGTACAATGTTGCGACACGACAACTTAACAACGGCGATCTTCAGATGAATCTTTAGGAATGACTCACGGGCTAACGTGTAGTAAAAGTCATTTTTACCTGATGTATTCTGTCACTCGTTCTATCTCTCTCTCTCTCTCACACACACACACACACACATGCGCTTCAATTCTTTTTTCTCCCTTTTCTCGCATACCGTGTATCCTTCTTTTTCTTTTTTTTTTTCTTTTTTTTTTCTTTTTTTTTTTTCAATATCATCGAGATACAATTCACTCGCTACTTCTTTCACAACAAACGTGTTTCATCGCGCAGATTCTACGAAATTCTTAACGGCATCCACAACGGTCTGCGATCATGTCTTGGTAAACTTTCAAGATAACGTTCTCGTTATCATCATAGAACAAGATGGTCGTGCCCAACAGTTTAGTAGGTACGCAACAGGGTCTCTCAACCCCTTTCACCAGTCCCATTTTATGAACAATTCCTTGGATGGTCGCGTGATTCGTCGGTTGTTGATCTTGACTTAATGGCGATTCGCAGATACCTTTGCAATGAAAAGCGGAGTAGCCAAGCGGGGCAATGATAGATGAGGAAAGGCCAATTTCTTTGAAATCCACGTAGAGCTCGTGCCTCGAGCACTCGGTGACATTTTGTCGAACGGACGCGCGGCTTTTCGTCGATCGTTTCTCACGGAACTTCTCGTTCAACAACAACGACCTCGACCTTCGACCTCCAACTCTTTCTCCCATTCTTTCGCGACGCATCGCACGTTCGTATATATCCATCGATGTGATTAAACCGCCTCTAAGCATCGTGTCGCGCGAAGAAATTCCGTGCAATTTTTTCGTAAGACTCATAGTTTCCCTTCGACGTCGACCCCCGGAACCCTCTTCCACGAGACGTTTCGCATCTCGAGTTGTTTGAGCCACCCCCTCGTATTCCCTTATCTGAGTTCTCTTCTGTCTTTGAAACGATTCCGATTTATTTTTACTTTGCCAACCAGTCTCTTCCAATTGCCCTTTTCCTTCACGATCCTGTTCCACACCGTCATTGTACTCGTTCCTCGAATCATCCGTCCCGTCTTCGTCGTCATGAAACGCTTGCTCGATCTCGTTGCTGTTACCGTCGCCTCGATGATCCTTTCCATCGTCGTCGAAAAGTACCAAAATCGGTTGCTTGCTATGATGATACTCATTCCGTCGGGAAAATTCCACGTTCACTTGATCCTCGAATAAGGTGGAAGCAGTTACTAAAAGTCCAAGGTTTGGCTCTCCGGTTAGCCAAGCGAGAACGGCTTGCTTCACGTTGAATATCTGATGAAAAGGAAAAAGAAAAAAAAAAAAAAGGAAAAGAAAAATCGAGCATTTAGTACACTTGGTGCAATCAAAATGGTGTGATCTTTTAAAAATTTTATAATCTCGAGAAACTTGCCTGCCAACCAGACGCGTGCGCTCCAACGTATCTAACATTTAGTAGCCTGTGAAGATCAGGAACGTCCAAACTTTTCTCATCCAAAACTTGATACACCCTTATCTAAGAAGCGAAACGAAACATTGGATAAAAGAATTGTTTGGGAATAGAGAAATTGAGCTATATATATATGTATATGTATACACTTACCAAGTAATACGGAGAAGCTAAAATGGACGGATGCAAAGCTTTCAAAGGTGTCCTTTTTCGATACAGATGAAGCTCCGCCTCCAGAACGGATTCGTCCACTTCTAAACCTGTGATGTTGAAGAAGTAAAACCGCGATGTGGTGGTGTCTGCGTGAAAGTTTTTTAATTTCGATGAGAAACTGAAGGATGAAGGACGAAAACGTATTAGGTCAACGAGGTACCTCTTTCGATGAAGCTGCGGACGACTTTGGCGTTGTACGGATTTTTACCACGCGTAACACCGCTAGGATCCGCTACATTGTTATACAGTTCAACCATAAATTGAGGCGGCACCTTACGACGTCCCGTTTTCTCACTGTAACTTCGAATACCAAGAACCTGAAATAACGAGTTTCATCGTTAACGTTTGTCGAACGCACTTTCGAATACTTTTTTTTTTTTCCGCTTCTCTCCTCTCACAAAGTCTCACAAACGGTGGAACACACTTGGACGGACCTGTTGCAGCTTCTCCAAAATCTCGTTCCGACGAGCGTCGTCGTGCTCGTTCAAATCGTCCAAGGGCCACGAGTTCACGAGTTCTCTCCCGCCGGCGTTGTCATCCTCGGTGAAACGGCTCGGGTGTGCGTGCACGTGAAAACAGGACGAAAAGAAGAAGAGCGTCGCGAAAAGGAGAAGGAACCGGACGTCTCTCATCATCATTTCTCGCTCACGCGCGATTCGTGAGTGGAGAAGAATGGCGAGAAAGTGGAATACTAGTCGCGACTGTACTACGTCTCTTCTCTGGATTCGGTCGAGGAATTGACACTCGGACGAATTGACGGAGTAATGGAGCATGGAGTATGGTACGCGCGACAAAAACGCTTCTTAGCGGAGGGAGGAGCGGACACCTTCTCTGCGGACAGGACAGGAGGTTTGCCGGACCGAACGGAACGCTAAGTAGCATATGGGAGGTCTTGGCTGCGAGGAGTCACCTTTATGCTATGCCGGGAGTTGCCTCCCCCGCGTTGCTCCCCGCAGCGACATCGGCTTCTCTCACGGGACACCGACGCGACATTCGACGCGATTCGACGCGAGCTAACGCGATATCCTCTTTTCTTTTCCCCCCGTTCCCTCTTATTATTAAGCCATTCTCGATCCTCGATCGTCCGCCGATCGTGCGCCCCCAACTCGCTCCAGCCACTCGTTTCTTTTCTAATTGAAAAAAAACGAGAGAAAATTGCTTTTCGAAATTCTCGAAACGCTTGAAACAAACGCGTTGTATTTTTGGCACGGAAATTTTCTGTCTTTTTGGAGATGAAAAAGAGGAAAGAAAAGAAAGAAAGAAAAAAAAAAAGAAAAAGAGAAGTATGGAAGAGGAAGGGGGAGGGGAAGAAAATTGGGGAGGGAAGTAGATTGATTACGTAGTAGGATGGCGTTGCGGGGCGAAGGAAACCCATGAGGAATGGGAGATGATGGCACCGTGGGGCTATTAAAAAAAGCTCGCGCTTCCTAAATTCCGTAGATTCGTGAGTGGCGAGTCATGTGGCCACTCGCAGCGATATTTAGAATCGGTCGCGAATCGGTTGTTTTCCTACGGAGGACGATGACGGATCTCGCGAGGGTGTCAGCGTATATTTTCGCCTCTGCGATCTCCAACATCAAGCACTGGCTTCGACCTTGTTCTTTTTGTTGCATTATTCGTATATGAGAGCAAGACGAAACGGGAACGAGCCAAAGAATAGTTGCAATGTACAAAGTTGGCTAGTGCCAGTTGGCGTACCGCGTATTTCTTTCATATCAAGAAATACGCGTCAAATTTGGCCAAGGGAGGATCGTTTTATTGCGTCTTGCCAAATACACACGATTCCGTTTATATCATCGCGATATCGTCGCGAAGAGAAATAAGCGGAACCAATTCCATTACTCTTAGCGAGGTAATTTCTTTCTTTTTTTTCTTTTTTTTTTTTTTAAATTTTGCCATTCTCTTATTACAGCGTAAAATTTGCGGAATAATTTAATAAATCGCGCTTTAATAAGGATTAACGAGCAGTGGCTCGGATGGAACACGGTAAGCGTGGACTAGTTTTCAAGTAACCAGTTTTTTTTTTAAAAAGTCATTGTACGTTTATTCGTCATACCAATACATGTAGGTGCATGTAGGAACATCGAAATGGTACTTTGTTGTTGTTTACGCGGCGCATAAAATAGCTTGAACGTGTCTACAAGTTCTGTTCCGTTCCGGAACTAGCAGGCCAACTCTCGATCTTCTTTGCGTTATTTAGACACAGGCGCACTGGGTAATTTGAATAATTTCTCTCTTCGATCCACGACGAGTCCTGAAACAAACGAATAAACCCACGAATGAACGGATAATTGCATCTTCATCATCGACGATTACCAAATACCTGTACTCGTGAACTTTGAATCTAGCAGGTGTGCAAGTGTGTTGCTTCGAGTACAGGCCCGCCAAGCATCTCGATGGCTCTCTTTTGTCTCTCAAAAGGCACATTTCCGTCTCGTTTCCTGGACACGTCCCAACGCATTGGCCGACGTTAATTTGCTGTTTCGCACGAACACGGAGGATCATTATGATAAATCATAAACGTAATTTAGGAGGAGGAAAATTGTGCGATAGACTTGAAATTTACCCGAACGACCGGCCTCACATCCGTTGTATTCGTACCGTCCTTTATTTCGACTTCGCTGAAATCTAGAACGGTCTCCATGTGATCCATTTTGTGGCATGTTCCAGCGCAGCCACATTTCTCGATCACCTGATACACTTCGTCTCCTAAAATTTTGTATTCAATTCATCTGTATCGAGATGCACGACGGTATTATAGAAGAGTAGTAAATTTGACGTACCGTTCGGCCCTTTTATGCTAACCGTACTGTTCCTCACCGGTTTGCATCCAAGATCTTTCAAAAGACGTAGATCGACGATTATCGACGATTATCGACGAACGATACCGAGTAAAAGAAGATAATAAGAAGATACCTTTAGCACAGTGACCCATGCACACACCGACATCCATCACGGCTTGATGAGGAGTGCCAGAATGCACGAGATGCGTGAAAGATTCTCGCCTACAAGAAGAATCCGATGTGCATTCGCAGGCTTCCGTGACTTCGATCACGCGAACCCCTTGAATCGTTGACACCCTCTCCAGTTTCGACGCCTTCGGGCGACAATGTGATTCCGGGAAGCATCTCTGAAAGAGGGGGGGGAAAAAAATCGCAATAAAATCGAAAACTAAATAAATTCCATTCCAATCCGTGGACATTTCCAATGTTTTAATCGAGTCGGCTAATGGGATGGATACATCGTCCATATATCAGACAGGGAAGAACAGATTTATCAGATATTGTATCGCGGCTTCACAGAATTCACCGTATTTTATTTATCGTCGTATCGCTCGCCAAAGAAGAAAGTATCAATGATGTCTACTAAAGGTATTTATAATATTCGCGTTATCTCCTATATGTCTTCGAACATTTTCTCTGGTACTCGATTTCTTTCACGGCACGCGGGCCATTTAATTATCCTCGCTGCGGGATAACGCCGACCGTTATCTTCGTCCATGCAAACGCATCCTCCCCCCCCCGGTGATATTTCTGGCTAAGAATATTTTCTAATAAATTTTATTCTCAGGCACATCCATCCTCGAGATCCCAGGAACACGATTCGGGATGCAGTAGCTGGCCAAGCTGGCGCCGGAGCGGTGACCCGGCACGATACGACCTTCCAAGGACGCAAAACACATCCTCCTCTTTCTCCATATCGCGTGCAACATTTTTACTTCTCGAGCCTGTTTCCCTCCTGCAGCGTGGGTGCTGCAAGATCGTAAACCACCGATCGGATTGTAACAAAAATAGCTCTCTCCCTAGCAAACAGCCAAGAAGGGACAAGAAGGGACTCGGAATTATACTCGCCATTTATACGTTTGCCCACCTATTAATTAATTAAATTCTAGTAGCTGAATTCATCTGGTAATCGTCTTTACTCTAACTTATATGGATTCAACGAGACGTACATCGAAAATGTTCTCGAAATTAAGTGAAACGATAATGCGCGACAATAATCTAATAACGCCAAGGATGATTTGTCGATGATTTTTGGATATGATAATAAATTTAAAGTATAGGCGTATATATAAAAGCATCGGCGAGGATACGCAGTTCTCGATACGGTATGGGGTGCACTCGCCGTAAAAGTCGCGAAGATCGTACGATCGCGCGATGCTGGCGTGGCCGCATTCCAGCTGGCGGATTGGTCGATCCCATGAGTCATAAATCTACATGACGTCCCCGTCTTTTTCGCCCTTCGTATAGCCCTTGGCATACGTAACCTGCCGTGGCAACGTATATCGCGGTAATTTTTTTTCCTTTTTTCTTTTTTTTTATTTGCAAATTCGGTCTTTTCGCTTCTCGTGCTTTTTTTTCCCTCCTCGACACGCTGCCCGACCACCGGACAGAATTCCTCGACATCCGATCTCGGTCTTTCGAACGTTCATTCGCTATCTATAGGTATATTCGATACTTTCGAGTGTCCTTTGTTCCTTTTTTTTTTTCTTCTTCTTCTTCTTTTTTTCAAATGATATCGCGAGTTCTGGAATTGTATCTTCCTTTTTTTAATCGTAAAATAAAACGCGACTATGATGTTGAATTTTTTAAAGATTCCGGGTCGAGGAATTCGACGGTTTCACGACCGGTTCGATAAACTCTGTGATGGCGATGAGTTTTTGTTGTAAGCCCGATGCACGAGGGCGGGGCACAGCCAAAAAGTTCTTGCATCAGGTGCACATCCTGCGGCCATGAGTCACGGATTATATCCATCCATGTATCTTGGCAACCCTTACGCCCCTCTTTGAATCGAAATTTTATAAAAAAGATAAAAGCGTGCGACAAAAGATTTACCTGGACAGTGGGCCGACTCGCGTCTCCTGGATCGTCCAACACGTGTCGCGGACACAATTTACGACAATGGCCTGCATCAATTTGGATAATTTCACCCGATATTCCTGAGGAAATAAAAATAAAAAAAAAAAAGAATCGAGAGAGAAAAGGAATTAGTATTAGCGATAAAAGCCGAAAGGGACACAGGGTGGTTCAATGAAATTTCAGCAGGGCTGGGGATGGTGAATTGTTGCACGGGCCGTGGAGCTTTTCGTTCGCGAAAAATGAGACGCGTGTAAATCCGATGGCGCCGCTCGGCAATGCTCACGATCACCGTACAAAATTTACGACTTGTATCACGTTAAACGTTGACAAGATATAAGAAGAGGGTAGAACCGTCTATAGTGTAACCGTGCTATTTTTGGCGCGAACGCGTGGGACATGGAATGCGCTGATTCCTCGGTGATTCACATTACCCTGGACCTTCGGCTACGTCTCTGCCGTCTTTTTCCGCGTTTCTTCCTATAAATGGTATTATCACGAGATATAATGCCAAGATGCTTCCGCCCTAGATTTCCAATTATTATTAGTTCTGTCGCTAGATCGATATCAACGTCGAATCGGTCGATCGTTTAATTGACAATTGATCGCTACACGAAGGGTGGCAGAGTTCTTCGGTTAGTTCGACGAAACCGTTAATTATTCGTTCGTCGAGGGGCATTAACGTAATCTCTACATTGTCATTCTACTCGTTCTCTCGTCGATTATCTCCGATCTATACGCGGATCAATTGATCCCCCTTACATAGTGAGACAAAGTGATGGGATTGAATCGCGATTCAACCGTTCCCGCGTTATTTTAAAGCGATAGCTCGCAATGATAAATCGGTCAAATCTTTTGATCACGGGCACACGACAACACCGCCACCGGATGCTTCATCCTCTCGATCGGCGTCAATTAATGGAACACCCGATATTAATTTACCGGATCGGATCTAGCGACAAGGCCACCCGCATTTACTACTCGTGAATATGGGGCGGCAACAGGCAGAATCGAGGGAACATAATTTACATTTAGCCAGTTGCTAAAATTACGCAACTTCTGCCCGAATCTCTCTCTCTCTCTCTCTCTCTCTCT